CGACCCCCATGTAAGTCACCCACTTCCTTGTGCAGGCCAAGATCCTCACTCCCCCACCCCCCAATTCCTGCTCCTTTAGAAACATCTTCCTCTTTCTGAGTGTTCTCTGGGTATCCTCTCTTACGCAGGCTCCGCCACCCGCCCAACCATAAAGGACCTCACTCCTGGGACACCACCCCCTCTTGGGAAAGCCGTGGGGGCTGTGGGGGGCGTTGGGTGGCTTACTAATACCCCTCGCTCCACTCCCCAGGAGGTGGAAAAGTCGGGCCTGCTCAACGTGACCAAGATCGCCCTGGGGGGGCGGAAGCTCAGGTGACAGGACCCGGGAATACCGCAGGGGCCTGGGCGGCTGGATTCCCTGGAGCCAAGCGCGGGGAGAGCGCCCTCCCCACGTGGTTCTACCTGACCTCTGCCCTACTACCACTGCCCCCTCCGCCCCTGCAGGAAGAACTGGAACCCCTCTTGGGTGGTGTTAGCAGGTAACAGCTTGATGTTCTACCGGGAGCCACCGCCCGCCGCGCCCTCCTCAATCTGGGTGAGTGTGAGGGAGGGGAGGAGGGGGCGTGCAGGAAAGGGTTGGGGCCCGATTTCTACGGCCTCGGGCCAGCTGTGGGGCGGAGGTGGGAGAGGGGGGAGTAGAGGAAGAAGCACAGCTTCCCGTGTCCTCGGAGTCCCCCGGGTGAGAGGGAGGCAACGAGGGGAACAGGGCCTCAGTTTCTCCCAATTGCCAGGGACCAGCGGGTAGCCGACCTGAAAGCAGCGTGGACCTGCGCGGAGCCGCCCTGGCCCATGGCCGCCACCTGTCCAGCCGCCGCAACGTCCTGCACGTGAGTGCGTCCTGCGCGTACCCAAAGCTCCACCCGACCCGAAGGTGCGCCCCGGGTTTCCCCGCATCGGTCTTCCGCTCAGCCTCCCAGCTTTTTGTGCTCCCTCCCGCTGACTCAAGCAAGCCCTTTCTCCGCTGGTCCCTCAGATCCGCACCGTCCCTGGCCACGAATTCCTGCTGCAATCAGACCAGGAGACCGAATTGCGAGCCTGGCACCGCGCGCTGCGGGCGGTCATCGAACGCCTGGTGAGATGGGTGGGAGATGGTGGGGCAGAGTCCGGGGAGAGGCTCTGCCCGGGTGGGACAGAGGGAGTGGGGAAGGAACAGTAGGATTCGGGGGTGGTAGGGGGCAGGGTGGTCTCAGTGTAGGGCCCTGGGGTGGGGCTGGGACGTGGGACCCCAGCAGCCAGCTAGGGCCTCCTTGCGTCGAGCGGGGGGGTGCAGATTTCTCTCTCCTTTCTTCCAACCTCCGACTCGGCCCACCTCGCCCTTCCGGGTCTAGGATCGAGAGAACCCCCTGGAACTGCGTCAGTCAGGTTCAGGGCCGGCAGAGCTGGAGGAGCTGAGCTGCGGGGAGGACGACGAAGAGGAGTCGGAGCCGGTGTCCAAGCCACTGTTGCGGATCAGCTACCGCCGGAGCTCCAGTGAGGGGCGGGCCTCGGGTGGGCGGGCCCGGGGGCGCGTGTCCCGGCTCGGTCGTCTCCTTCCCCGCGGCGGTCTCGCGCCCTCATTCCACCTGCTCCTACAGGTCGGTGTCCCGAAGGAACGGAGCAGAACCGCGTACGGAACAAACTAAAGCGGCTTATCGCCAAGAGACCACCCTTGCAAAGCCTGCAGGAGCGTGGGCTGCTCCGAGGTGAGGTGGGCTGGGCCAGGGGCACCCTTCTCCTCCGTACCTGCTGTAGTATTTCTGCAAGCACTTTTATATTCCTCATCTGGTCATCAGCCCACTTCGTGGATGAGAAAATTTCAGTGAGACTCACAGTAGAATGTCCCAGAACTAGATCAGCGGTCTTCTGCTCCTCTACTGCTTAATTTTGGGGAAGGAAGTGTGCACCTCTTTGCCGGGGGGGGGGGGGGGGGGGCGGATTTGCTCGAAAAGGCAGCCAAAGAGGGCCAGCCCAACTTTGGGATGAAAACCTGTGCTAAGAGCTTCCATGGGTGACGCTCCCACTGGCCTTCCACCTCACTCTGTGCCTCTCCAGACCAGGTGTTCGGCTGCCAGCTGGAATCACTGTGCCAGAGGGAAGGGGACACCGTGCCCAGCTTTGTGCGGCTCTGCATTGCTGCTGTGGATAAGAGAGGTCACTTTTCCAGAGACCCCACAACCTCCCCTTCCAACCAGCCAAGGCCTAGAATTCCCCACCTCCCCCACCCTAGTCTTCCTTCTGCCTTATTCCTCTCCACCTTTGCATCTCTCACCAGTCCTCACCTTACACAGGTTACAGCAGGAATCCTTATTTAATTTAGAGCAGGAGGGGCGCCTGGGTGGCTCAGATGGTTAAGCATCTGCCTTCGGCTCAGGTCATGATCCCAGAGTCCTGGGATCGAGTCCCACATCGGGCTCCCTGCTCCTTGGGAGCCTGCTTCTCCCTCTGCCTCTCTCTCTCTCTCTCTGTCTCTCATGAATAAATAAATAAATAAATCTTAAAAAAAAAAATTTAGAGCAGGAATCCTTATTTGCTCCCTGCCTCATCTCCCAGGTCTGGATGTGGATGGCATTTACCGGGTGAGTGGGAATCTGGCGGTGGTCCAAAAACTTCGCTTCCTGGTGGACAGAGGTAAGAAGGCTTGTGGGCATGTGGTGGTACTACGAATTTCATGCCTCGGAACCACAGGCAGTTTCTCAGGGAGCTGGCAGAACGGGGAGGTCTGGCTAGAACTGCATGGCTTAGCTCTTGATCTTTTATCCATGTTGCAGAGCGGGCGGTCACCTCCGATGGGAGGTACGTGTTCCCACAACAGCCAGGACAAGGTACTTACGTGGAAGGCCCCTCAGACCCTTAAAATATCTGACATCCTCCCTACTCCTTCTGGATCCCTGTGTCCTGCCCCTGGGTGGGTTGTCCCCCTCCCCACCTCTGCTGCCTTGCCCCCCTGTGGATCTCCTAGGTATTTCTGTGGTCTGCCTTAACTGGATCTTCTCCCAAACTCCTGACCTCTCAGTTTCTGGATCTCTCTGGCCCTTCATGAGCCCTGAGCCTCTCTGTACCTCCTTCTCCTCCCAGAAGGCCGATTAGATTTGGACAGTGCTGAGTGGGATGATATTCACGTGGTCACTGGAGCCCTGAAGCTTTTTCTCAGGGAGCTACCCCAGCCTCTGGTGCCCCCATTGCTGCTGCCCCATTTTCGTGCTGCCCTTGGTAAGGGATGAGAACTTTGGGCAATACCCTTGATATGGGGGTGGGGCGTGAAGGGTAAAGAATAGTTTCCCTTACACCCTTCTATTCCAAACTGAGCACAGAGATGGGAAACAACTTTCAACTCCTGTGCCAACTCCAGTTATTATTTGTGTGTGTGTGTGAATGTTTAGAAGGCTGACTTAAAAAGAATTCTAAAGCCGCAGTTGGCGGGGGCGGGGGGGGGGGCTCCTGGCTGGCTCAATCGGTAAAACATTTGACTCTCGATCTCAGGGTTATGACTTTCAGCCTCACGTTGGGTGTAGAGATTACTTAAAAATAAAATCTTTTTTTTTAAAGTTTGTGACAATTAAAGATTTTATTTATGTTTTAACAGAGAGAGAGACAGCGAGAGAGAGAACACAAGCAGGGGGAGTAGGAGAGGGAGAAGCAGGCTTCTCACTGAGCAGGGAGCCCGATGTGGGGCTCGATCCCAGGACCCTGGGATCATAACCTGAGCTGAAGGCAGACACTTAACGACTGAGCCACCCAGGCACCCCTTAAAAATAAAATCTTAAAAAAATAATAATAATAAAGCTGCAGTTAGGCTCAGCGGAAAAGAAAGCTGTGGTAGATTAATGGTGTCTTCCATGGGCGTGGGAAAGAGTAGCAAGTTTACCCACCCTTCCCTAGCACCTTCCAGAGCCTCACCCCCCACCCCGTACCCTTCCCTTCACTTTTTCTCTCTAGCAGTCTCCGAATCAGAGCAGCGCCTCTCTCAAATACGAGAATTAATAGGCTCGATGCCCAAGCCCAACCGTGACACTCTGCGGTACCTCCTGGAACATTTATGCAGGTCAGGACGACTGAACATTTCTGTGTATGCGGAGGGAGGGTGGAATGGAGCATGCAGCGGGGACTGTGTTCAGAACCAGTGAAGGTAGGGGACACCTAGGTTTCTCACCTGTTTAGTGGGCAGATGGAGGAAACAGGCAACCTCTGGGCAGGTCATGAAGTGGGGAAATGGGGATCAAGAGATGCCCTGGGATGCTGTGAGAGAAATGAGGGCCATTTCACCGCTCCCTTCCCCTGGTCTCTTTGTCTCCTGTTGGGACCCTGCTCATGGCTTCCGTGGCTGAGCTGGGCCTGGGCGGTGGCTTCTGAGAGAGGATAGCCATTTGAATTAGAGTCGCCTAATCTGTGAAAAAAAGAGGACTCTAGGGGCAGTCTCTGAAGCTGGAAAGAGGCAGGCATCTCCTGGGTTGTATTTTCCAACTTGTACCCTGAAGGTGTCTCTACTGGTCCCATCTTCATGCACCTTGCGGCTCTCTGCTTGGTTGCCTTCAGCCACCAACCACATGGAGGGGTCCCAAAGTGAACTCTTTGCTGTTCATCCCTTTGAAGGGTTTGATTTATTTGAAGTGGGGAAGCTGCTGCATTATAGCCCCTTCTCTCGATCTTTGCCCACAGGGTGATAGCACACTCAGATAAGAACCGCATGACCCCCCACAACCTGGGAATTGTGTTTGGGCCAACCCTGTTTCGGCCAGAGCAGGAGACATCTGACCCAGCTGCCCATGCTCTCTACCCTGGGCAGCTAGTCCAACTCATGCTCACTGACTTCACCAGCCTTTTCCCCTGACTGGGGCAAGGAAGAAGACAAAAACATGTTTCCACTGATCTCTGTTGGCTACCCTTTGGTGGTGGAGGGGATAGTGGATGTTCTGTTTTGAGGACATCCCATTAAATCCTGTGTCTCCCAGATGACTGTCTTTGTGAGTCTGACCTGAGGGGTTGGGATGGGTGGGGGAGCCTCCCAAAAAAGGGAAGTGGGTGGATTAACCTCTACTTCTCTTCTTGTTCCCTGTCATCACCCCCCCCCAAGATAGGAAAGTGTAAAGCAGGGCGCTTTCTGATGCAGTTCCTTTATTATCCAGAAACAGTGTCATTATCAAATTCCTCCCCAAAACATATACAGAAGGTATACAGCCCCACCCATACCTCCCATCCATGGGGCATCCCAAGGGGCTATGGCTCCTCATCCCAACTTCTCTGAGGGAATGGAAACCCCTTAGGAAATCGATCTGTGATTCCTGGGATTCCTCACTCTTCAGGCGCTAGAGTTGAGGAATTGTGTCTCCCCAGGCAGGGATCCCAGTAAGATACTCATGTTGCCCACAGCCATGTTGGGGGGCCCAGAGGGAGGTGGGGTGTGTTCAGAGCTGTCCCCCTGATCATGGGAAGGGGGAGGACTCAGCCCCTGGGCCTCATCCAGAATAGCCACAAAGTCCAGCTGAGTGTTGTCAAGGTCAAGAGAGTCCAGAGGGTTGCACACCTGCCCTTCAGGAGGAGCGTACAAGGCAGGACCCCCTCCCAGCCTGCCCACCTCAGGATGACCACAACTGGGGTTGGTGCTCCCTGCCTTGAGGGTCCCATAGCAAGTGGGCAGTGGGGGCAGAAGTCGGGGTGGTGCTGTTGCCCTATGGGGGGCCTTGTTTGCCCCCACTGCAAAATTTTCATGGCAGGTTGGAGGGGCGGGATAGGAGCCCGACTTGTGATTGGGCAAGTTAGGTGCAAAGCCAGGTCCATATGTGGCCATTGGACCCTTGGCAGGGCTTGGGCTAACCTGGGAACCCCCTAGAAACTTGGGACTCTGGTAGAGAGCTTCCTGGACTGGGGGATCTCCCCTGCCCCCACCCTCCCAGAGCAGTTCCTGTTGAGACTGAACATAATTACACACCAGCTGAGCCTTGAGTTGTCCTGTGGAGTGAGTGGGGGAATCAAAATCCAGGCCAGGCCTGGGCTCTGAAGGAAGATAATCAGGGGTTGGCTGGGTATAGGCACCTGACTGGGGATATTGGGGAGGAGGAGGCTGGGGGTAGTGGGAGAACAGAGGCTGTGGACGAGGAGGCCCATCACTGGGGTGAGCACTGAGGCAGGGCGCCAGTCCTGTGGCATCAGAACCCACTGGACACCCCTGTTCTGGTTTGACCTGCACTTGTCCGTAATGTTCAAGACGAGGACACTGACTGTAGACTCCAGCTGGAGCCTTGGGGCCTGGGTACAGCCCGGAGTGGGAAGGGAACTCACCCCATGGTTCAGGGGGGGGGTTCAAGATAGGACACCTGCTGGGGACAGGGGTTTGGCCCATAATTGGTGGGTGGACCAGGCCCAAGAGGCAGGGAGCCTGGACCCCTAGCTCCATAAGGTTCAGCCGCTGCCCCTTCGGGTCCCCCATATCCCAAAGTATCAGTGGGTGGGAAGTCCAAATAGGGGTTTAGACCACTGCCTATCATGGAGGTCCCACCTTCTGGCTCCTCCTGCAGTCCTCTGGTATCCATGGCGACATTCTCAGTGATGCTGGGGGGCTGTGGTGAGTAGACAGCGGTTGGGAGTTGGGGATCGAAGTTCCGTCCTCCCCCTGCCATGGTGGGGGGCGTGTGGACACAACCCAAGCTCTTGAACCGCTGGACTCTGGCTGGGGCAGGACGGTCAACAGCCCGGGCCGGGTCACTGGCCCTCCGGGTGACCCCTACGCTGGGGTTGTATCCTGGATACTCAGCTCGGCTTCTCCAGGGAGGTGCAGGAAGGCTCCCCATCCGATCCAGGCTGGGTGTTGCCGTGGGTGGGGTACCACCTCCCCTGGCTGAAGCATATCTTGCCCGGAGCAGGTAGTGCTGGGCAGGGGTGAGGCCGGGCAGAGAGGATGCCCCGTTCTCGGGCGGGGAACCAGGGGGGTAAGGGGAGGCCAGGGAGGAGCGGCGGCTGACGGTATAGGCTGAACTGACGCTGCTGGAGCTGCTGCTGCGGCGGTCAAGAGAAACTGGGGGGCCCAGGCGGCGGGACACAGGGGTGCCTACAGGGGATAAGGAAGAAAAAGCAGGGTGGTCAGGGAGCCCTCAGAATCTCACCCTGCCTCCCCCATGGGACGGCCTTGTCCCAGAATCCTAGGGACAGGCTCCTTGACTCCGACGACTCAGACCCCAGGACGACCCATGCCCTTTCTACGTCTGTGTCACCAGGGATTCAGAACCACCGTGAACAGTTGTATAGGTTGTACACTGCACAGCCCTAGGGAGCAGCATTCACGTCATACTTTGTGTATCACAATTACCTGATGGATGGAAGGAAAGTGTCTGAGGAAGGGGGACCTTTTGCTAACTGTACAAAGGTGCTATAGGGCAACCCTGAGGAGGGAAGTCCTCCTTCCAACTTCAGAGAAGGTCCAGATCTCAGTCCAGCGACTACCTCCACACCCAGGTCTCACCAGTATGGGTCAGGCTGGGCAGTTTGAGGCCCCGGGGCCCCATCGGCCGAAGTTGATGTAGCTGGTCCAGTCTGAGGTTCTCAAGGCGTCGAAGAGTGGACAGACCAGTGCCAGCAATGCAAGGCCCCTCATCCAAGCTGGACAGGTCCTCAGTGCTGCCCCCTGCATTTCCAGTCATTTCCACACCACTATCTGTGTTGGCGGCACTGCCTGCTGGGGAGTGGTCGCTGCTGCAGGACGACTGGGCCCCAGGGCTGGGCTGTGGCTTCTGCGGGGAACATGAGGGCTGAGGGCGGCCCCTCCCCCCCGCCCCCCCAGTTCCCTGAACTTGGTGAGTGGCTCAAGCCTGTGTCTCAGTGACTGCGCGGACGGAGGGGAAGCTTACAGGTGTAGGGAGGGCTGAGCAGGTGAGGGGAAGGGGGCAAACTGGAGAGATGTTGATGAGAAGAGCCTAGGATGGAGCACAGACTGCCTGGGTTCAAATTTACACTTAGTTCGGTGACCTTGGACCATTTGTCTATATGCCTGAGTTTCGTCATCTGAAAATGTGGAGAGGAAGTTCCTTTTCCACGAAGCTGTTGTGAGGAGTACATGAAATTATAATCCTACTAATGTGAATTTTACATGTAAACTATACATAAATTAGAATAATATACTAAGCCCCATATAAGAGTTTGTTGAACCAATTCAGTAATGAATTATACGAAAATCTCTTGATTTGGGGTAACCCAAGGAGCACCACTGGGGTAAGAGACTGGAGGACTTCCACAGAAGGGTGATGTACAGAGGAGGACATGGAAGAGTTGGGAGCGGACTGGAAGGATGTGGGCAGGGCAGGCCGGGGCATGGAGGCAGGAGTCGCCTGGGCCAGCTCACCACGGTCCCCTCCGGCACGGTCAGTCTGCTCTCCTCCCTGATGGGGCCTCCATCCCGCTCCCTCTTGGGCTCCACTGTGGACAGAGACGGTGCCCTGGGCAGGGGGCCGTCTCCTCGGTGCCGCTTGGTCACATGGGCATCAGGACCATGCACTGTCTTGACGTGTTTCCGGAGCGAGCTAGGATCTGTGTAGCGTTTGGTGCAGCCAGGGAGCTTACAAACATACGGCTTCTGTTGGGTGGAAAGTGAAGACATCAGGCAAAGGAATCAAAGCAGGAGAGTGCGGAAGGCATGGGAAGAAGAGGTGGCATCAGTTGGGGACGAGGGGGTCAGGGAGGAATGCACAGCACCCAGGGAATTAAGGAGGGGGGGAGTCCTTGGAGTAAAAAATGAGAGGGTCAAGGGAAAGATTAGGAAAACTGACAGCCCAGGTCTGTGAGGCTTCATAAAGCCAGGGGTTGAAGGGACCATGGGTCCCCTCCAGGCCAAATGGGTCTATTTAGGTTGGCCCTTTGGCTGGTTAGAGGTAGCGGGTGGGGTGGTTATGTGGAAGTTCTTGGTTTCAGAAAGACCTTATCCAGGTGAATGAGGTGGGGGACAGGGACTCACCTCTGTGGAGCGGGTGCTGGGCTAAGGGATTTCTTATGGGGGAATCTGCCCAGTAACTGGCTTCTCAAGTGGGGAGGGTCCCTTAGGTGGGGCATTCACCTCATTGGAGTGGGTCCGATTCTGGTGCTTGGCTCGGTCACTGGCATTGCTGAAGGCTTTACTGCAGCCCTCGTGCTCACACATGTATGGCTTCTCACCCGTGTGTGACCGCAGGTGCGTCTTCAGATTTTCGAGGCGTGAGTATGACTTCCGGCACCCCTCAAACTAGGGGATATTGGGGTCAAAAGATAGCTCTCAGACAGAAGGACATGGAGATTAGAAGAACTGTAAATCTCAAAGGGGACATACATCCGAGACTATAACTCAAGATGCGAGGGCAATTCCCAGAATTCAGGGATGAAGGCAGGCAAGAGCTCGGCAAACTGGAAGCTGGAGGGGATGCGGCAGCGAGCATCTCCCCGTCAAGCCAGAGCAGATCTCCCTGCATGGGAATCTTAGACTGGCTTAGGATGGGGTCATTCTGGGAGTGTCTTATGTCCTTGACACCGAGCTTCTCCATTAGGCAGAGTAGCAGGCACAGTGCCTCGGGCCCAGGGTACTTTTGGGGGCCCACAGAAATGTCTTAATTTCTTAAAGCAAAGGGAAAATGGCTTTTAGGTCCAAGAAAATGTTCTAATACACAACATCAATATGTTCATCTTTATACTAACCCAGTCCTAAGATACAGTTTTTAAATATTTGTTTATGGCGGCAAAGTGCCTAGGCTCCAAGAAAGTCGTATGAGCTCTTGGTGGGGAGCCCCAATTTAGGGAAGGACCCTGAGCTTGGGAAGTGGGTGCCTCACCGTGCACTTGTGTGGCTTCTCCCCCGTGTGTCTGCGCATGTGCACCACCAGCATGTACTGGGCTTTGAAGGGCCTCAGCTCCCTGGAGCAGCCCCCCCAATGGCACACGAACTCCTTCCGCTCCCCATGGATGTGCTCACTGTTGATGTGCTGAAGGAGGAGATACAGAGGCTCTCTGAGGTTCCCTTCTGCCCCCAAGTCCCAAAACAGACCTTCCCTGGAACCTCCCCACCCCACCATATTCCTCCAAGGCTCCACCTCATGGGGGAAGAAGTTGCAGAAAGAACATCGTAGCCCGCACCTCTGTTCTCCCACATTTCTAAAACAAAGCTATAGCTCCTGAGTTTCTGCTGACCCAACTGGCCACTCAACCTCTGACCTCGGTATCCTGGGACCTCCTGCCCTTAGCCTAACTCCACAGTGTCCCACCAGAATGTCCTACAAGATCCAGCCAGCATTCCTGTTACCCCCTGGGGCTCACGTGCACCAGCTGCTCCTGGGAGTCAAATTCCTGGCTACAGCCATCCCAGCGGCAGTCAGTCTCATACACAGACTCAGGCTCAGGCTTCTCCTCTCTCTCCAGGTCCTCCCGCCCATCCAACATCCCCAGCAGGGGATCCTAGGGCAGAGGAGGCAATCCTAGGGTCACTGGGGTGACAGCTTTTGTTTATTTAGCTCAGGTTTCAGAGTTAAAGTCGCCCCCCCCTTACCTGTGTGCCTGTGGAGTTGGGGCTGGACATATCACCCTCCAAGGGCTCCTCTGGGCACTTGCTAACCAGCAGGTCCAGCTCAGACTTCAGCTTCCCCAAGGGAAGAGGTGAGGGTGATGAAGGTAGAAGTGGGCAGAAGGAAGAGGGAGCCCAGCCAGGTCTTCCTGCCCTGAGTACCCCCACCCAAGCTGCTGGAACCCCTGGGTTTGGAAGAGACTTCCTCCTCAGACTGCACTGGGATGGGCAAAAGGCAGGATCTCATTTGGAAGAGTCTGATTCAGCTTCAAGGAGTGAACCCCAGCAACCATACCCCTTTATGTTTCTGCTACTGAGAACTTTTCGATCCCCTGTCCTTCCTTCACCTTTCCCCATAGAGCCCACCACCCACCCTCCCTGAGCTGAGGGAAATTGGGCAGCAATATGAGGACTCTCACCTGGCAAGCTGGGAGGGGTCCCCGGGACTGAGGATGCGGCATCATCCCACCTGGAGTGGGGTCATGGGGACCACAGGGCTGGACCCCGAAGGAAGGCGAGGTCCCTTTTTGGTGATTCATCTGGGGTGGGAATCCCAGAGAGGGGCTGAGGAGGGGGAGGAGGAGGAGGAGAGGCAGTTACTTAGGACTATCATCTGAAAGAATTTCAGGAGTCCTTGGGCTATTTTGGAGTGTTTCTGAAAAACGGTATGGGATGGGGTTGAGGCAGGCCCAGGGAAGCACGGAAGAGGGCTTCAACACCTTTGAAATGATAAGGATTCAAACAGGGTCGGGTGCTTTGGAAAGCTTGAGGCTTTTAATGGGGTTTGGCAGGGTCTTTAGGGGCCTCTTAGCCCAAGGCTTTCTGCACCTCATGGTGCCGATGGAGAGGTGACCATAGGAGCCCCCAGGAGATGCACAGCGTGAGTTGATGAAGGCCACAAGGGAGCTGGGTGAGGTGCGGATAACTGTCTGTAGATCCAGGCTGGCGTCTGACAGAGGCGAGATGGAGAGTGCCCGCTTCTTGGTCAACTTGACTGAACCTCGGGGAGGAGGGAAGAGCGGGGCTGGGGCAGGAAACAGGGGAGACAGCTACGGTGAATGGGGGCATGTCTCCCTCCACCCAACCCATGGGTCCTGACTCTCAACAAAACAATGACACTTGACTCTGCTTTGCCCTACTGACCCCATCTGTGACCTTCTGATCATGCTCTGACCCCTTGCTCCTATCTCCAAGCATTTCCTCTTCCAAGTTAGATCCCCTGCCTTCCCCCTGCAACTTTCTCTTTTTAGAGCAAGTCCCAGAGGGGCAGAAAGGGAAGAGATGTTGCCTGAGGCCTCACCCTCGGTGCAGCTGTTGGTCTCTCTAACTGGCCCATAACTGTGGGGGCCAGACATGAGGTTGGCCTGGTGGCAGAAGGGCAGACCAGGCAGTCCTAGGAAAGAGAGATAGCGAGAATGGGGAATGGGAATGGGGGAACACGTAAGGCCTCACCTTGAAACCCCGGGAGAGGCTTGATCCCATATCCCAAGCCTATACGACATAGAGCCTCGAATCTTCTTGTGGATTAGAGACTGGCATGGGGTAGGAGATAGAAGAGGGATCCCTGGGGCTGACTGAGAGAGCTGCCAGGCCTCAAGGCCTGGAGATTGGTATTTGCACTGACCTTCTGTCCCCATGCTGGGGGCCTGACTGGGGAGGGGCCGGAGACAGCAGGGCTCGCCATAGCTACTGACTGGCGGTGGGGTCATCGAGTTGAACATGGTGTCTCAGAGGAGAGTGTGGGGACACTGCAGGAGGGGAAGGGAGATGTGCAAGTTATAAAGGCAGGAGGGAAATAAGGAAGGTCAGATAACTAATTCAGTTATAGAACCTCTAAGACATCTGCCATGGGAAATCAAAGTGAAATGAGCATCACTCAGCCAGGGGGGTAAGGAAAGGAGTCCCAGAGAGGCAGAGGCTGTCTTGAGGATCTTTGTGGGAACTGAGTGGGATCTTTGCCTGGGTGGTCTAAGCTCTGGTGTGTGTGTGTGTGTGTGTGTGTGTGTGTGTGTGTGTGTGTAGGAGGGAGTGTTATGGACTAATTGCGTCTGTATAAGCCTCAAGTGATTTTATGCCATGGTCCTCTATTTCTTCTTGCTCTGACCGTGGGCCAGCTTTGAGGGGTGGGATGGGGGAACTCATGCTGAGCCCCTTTGCCTTCATTTGTTCCTGCGCAGCGACAGGCCCGCTACAATCTCTCCAGTATGCAGCAGAGGGAGCTCTCGCCACAGCCCAGACGGAGAGGCTGGTGGGGCCAGGAGGGAGCACAGACGTGGGGCCAGGAGGGAGCACAGACGATCTGCCTTTTTCTAAGGCAGAAAACTGTGTATAGAAGGGGATAAGGTTTCTGAGCAGAGCCTCCCAGGTCTGTTGAGTACAAAGAGTGGAAACTGGTGTTATCCTGGGGTAGTTTGAATCTGGGCGCCCACCTCACTTGGTCTCTTTTGGGGGAGCAGGAAAGGACTGTAAGAGAAGGCTTTGAGAGAATGAAAAAACAAAGTCATTATTCACTAGAGAAGAGCTGTGAGGGAGAGGGTTCTGCCATCCGCTTTTCTCCTCAAACTCCAGTTTTTGATCCACCCCGGGTTTTCCGGTCTCCCGGGACTGAGGGTGGGGTGGGGCGGGGTAGGGTGGAGAACGACCGGGAGCGGGCCGGCCGGCGCGGTGGGTGATCCCGGGATGCTGGGATTTTGGGTGAGGGCGGGGTAAGATGGGGAGAGGAACCCGGACCCCATGACCCAGCCCAAGCCCCGTAGCCTGGATTGTACCCTTCCTAACTCCTCCTTTCCCAGCGGAGAGCTGGATCCCGCATCCAAGACCTCCCAACTCGACCTTGGCACTTTGTGTGTGTGTGTGGGGGGGCACAGCTGGCTGGCAGCTGGATGGGGGGACACTTCTCCCGCCTCCTTCCTCTATGACTCACCCAGGAGAAGGAGGCAGGGGCTCGCAAACGACCCCCCAAACACTAAAGAGACTCCCCCAAACGTGCCTACTCAGTCATCCTCTTGTGCCACTGCCCAGCCGCAGGGGAGTCCTGATGGAAATGGGGCGACATCCCACCTCGCCCACGCGTGCCACAGCCCACCCACGTCTCCCCTTCACACCAGTGACAGGAAAATTTCGCCAACTTTTCCAGCTTCGGTTAAGTTTTTCTGGAGTGTGGATGAGAGCGCAGGATGGGGCAGGGAGCTCTAGGGTTGCCCTGCTGGAGCCCTGAATCATCTTCTGTGTCTCCCTATTTTCCAGAGTCCCCCTCGCACCCCCGCTCCCCAACTCCCAGGAGTAGGCCCCGCCCCCCTTCTCCCGGTCCCGCCTTCCCCGCCCCCGTGCCTCCTCGGCCCACCCAAGTCGCCGCCGCAGGCTCTGGCTGCAGACAGCTCCGCTTCCCCCGCCCGCCCCGGGAGCCCAGTCGAGCGAGCCGCGGTGGAGGGAGGGCGGGGGGGGGGGTGTAGTTGAGAGGCGGGACACATTCTTCCCTCCTCCCCTCAGCTCATCCAGAAAGCTGGCAGTGGCGCCCGGGGGGCGGGGGGCACTGTTGGAGCGTGGGGGGTCCCCGTGGCGGGGTGGAAAAGAAAGAAGAATACAGAAACTACAGGGACAGAAAGTGATTGGGTAAATAAAATAAGGTGTATATGGGCGGAGGGAGGGGTCAGGACACCTTGGGTTCCTGATTATCACAGTTGGCTTCCCAAGGGTTAACCCCTCCAGACCCCCGGGAACCCCTTAGTGACGTCAAGGGCGGGGTCTGTACCGCCTGGTTGGGGATGCCGAGTAGATAATTGAGGGGGGGGTGTCTCCGGACCCCGCCCCCATAGGGAAAACCATCCCAATTCCGGCCCTTACAACTCCCCCGGGAAATTGCCCCACCTTCTCCTTCCACTGGACAGTAAAGACCTATCCTATGAAGACCCCAGTTCTCCAGCCCCCAAAACCTTAAGTCCCCAGTCACTATGGGATCCCCTTTCCCTAATCCTGTCCCCAAAGCTAGCTGCCCAGGGCGGATTGTTTCGGGGTCACCGGGCCTGAAAGAGGCTTCAGAGCGGGGAGCAAGGGCAGGCAGGGTGGTCTGAGCCAGAGGAGGGGCCTCGGCCCCCAGCTCCCGTTGGGGAGGGGGTTCCAACGGGGATACATAGGCAGGCCGTGGCCAGTGGTCCCGCCCAGTCCCAGTAGGGGTCTCCCTGCGGCTGGCCCAGCTGTCCTGGTGGTCCCGAGGTCAGAAGGTCAAGACAAGGTCTCCTCGGCTCCTCCTAAGCCCCCTGACTACAGCCCTTGGGGACTCAGGAGTCCCTATTCCTTGAGAAGTCTTTCCAGGGCCTAAACGAGACGCTGGGCCCTCCCGCCCCCTTCCTAAAACAGAAGGCACTGCTTTTCCCCAGAACGAATGCACCAGCAAGCACATCTGTCACAAGACAGGTCAGGGGTTCAAGCCTAGCTGTCCCCCACCGGTTTTGTCGCCTCACACACACCCATCTCCACCCCACCTAGGGCTCTCTCCTTAGCTGTTCCCTCTTCCAGAAACACTGACGTCTTCCTGCCGGCGCTCAGGACACACCTGGAGTTCCCTCTCTACCACGCAGACCTCCAGCTAGCCGGCCCTCCAGCCTCTTCATCCCAACCTCATGAAAGTGAGATGTTTCTAATATATGGGAGAGGCGGAGACAGACAAAGAGATCCACGGTTGCCTGAGACAGAGACACAGAGACTGTCAGAGGAAAAAAAAAAAAGATACAGAGAAAGGGAGATACAAACGAAAAAATTCTTCAAACTTTCTGTATCTCACCCCAGGCTCTCCCACCCCCTTTTTGCCTCTGTGCCCCAGGTCTCCCTCTTGGCTGGGCAGAGTCCCTCGCAAGCAGGGCATCCCCTCGGGCCCCCTCCCCCACTGCTCCCAGGTGGTCCCCCGCCTGCCCCCCTTCTCACCTCCTCCTGGGCGCAGGGCTTGGGATGCGCGGTCCAGGGCTGGAGTCTGGGCTGGGGGGTGTGCGGTGGGGAGGGGGGGCGGACAGGGCCACGGCAGCGCAGCCTCAGTGCCACCCCCACCCCCCCTAACCTGGCCGCCAGCCCTCCCGCCGGCCCAGCCCGCCGGGCCGCGAGCCGGGACCACCCGCGAGAAGCGCAAACTTTTTTTTTCCCTTTTGCAAAAACTTTTTCTCGCTCAAGCAGCTGGCGCGCCGCCGCTCTTCCCGCTCGCCTCTCACCTCCCTTCTACTTCCCTCCCTCTTGCCGTTCTGGAGGATGAGGCGGGGTAGCTGAAAGCAAGAGAGGGGGTGCCGGGCTTATTGCACCCCCAGGACCCCCAGGATCCTCCCCCTCCCTTGAGGGACCCTATACTGCCCCCCCCCCCCCCCCCGCTGAACACGCTGCTGGTGGTGGGCAATAAATCCCGGCATGGATCCTTGGATCGGCTGCCCACGAAGAGCCCTCCCCCACCCCCCACCCCCCCGAGCCAGAAAAAACTAAGAAATGTATTGGGAGTTGGGGGGGGGGCGACGAAAAAGTTCATCCGAGAAAGATAATATTGGAGGTAGCGTCGTCAACTTTGGTTGGTGCTAACTGAGCATTCCGCCATCCTGTAGTTTATCTGCTGGCCTCACTCTTTCAGTGGAACATGAAGGGGTCAGGACAGATTTGGGGTTTGGTGCAAACAGGACGGGACACAGTTGGCTTAGAAGTGAAGGGTCTATAGAGCATAAAAGAGACGGGCAGTGGCTGAGGCTCTGGGTGCAGAGTATGCGGTTCACAAGGTTACTAAGGTACCCTGGGACGCGACCGAAACACTGTTCCGCAGAGAACCCCCGCTCTCCTTCATCTCCAAGTTCTGGAGACTGCGGGCACCTCCGTACCTCTGGGCTGCCCGCTTTCTGCAATTCCAGGCTGTCTGCTCCCTCTGCTGGCCTTTCTGCAACATGACACTCTCTCGGCGTCTGGAAGCGGAGAAGACAGGGGAGCTGAAGGTGTAGGAGGCTTGACAGGTCCCCCCTCCAAAGCCCAGTTAGGAGCCCAGGGAGAGGGTTGTATGAGCCCAAAGAAGCGGAAAGGTACACTAGAAGAGGCTGCTAGTGCAGAACAGTAGTGTCTGAGAGGGGAGTGTCTTGTCCCTTCGGATTCGTGTTGCTATAGTGACAGGATGCAGGGGAAGGGGCAGCTATTTTAGTCTGTCTGACCTTTCTTTATGAGAAAGGGGAGAAAACGTGGTGAGGAAAAGGAGCCCCTTCCTTTCCCGTCACCCCTCAGACAGGCCTCCCACATCCTAGTTCTGCTTCCAAGAACCACCTCCTCAGGCCTGGAGAGTTAGTAGGTTAACTGCTCAGACTGAGGGTCAAGGGGAAAAGGTGAAACTAGAAAGAGGTCTGAGGCCCTACAAATATAGGTAGTGACTCTGGGGGAACAGATAAGGAGTCCTATTTCACCCTCCCTCCCCCATATGACTTTGGCCCAGACACCAGTTATACCCAGAGGGTCAGGCAAGACCAGTCAGTGGTCCTTTCTTTCGGAGAAGCTCTTTTAGAGCACACTGTTTTTTCCTCCTCACCCCGGTCTCTAGATTAGTGATTCTGCAACATTTTGACTTCAAGACCCCTTTACACTCTTTTTTTTTTTAAGATTTTATTTATTTATTTGAGAGAGAGTGAGAGAGCATAAGCAGGGGGAGGAGCAGAGGGAGAAGCAGACTCCCCACTGAGCAGGGAGCCCAATGGGATGCAGGGCTCGATCCCAGGACCCGGGGATCATGACCTGAGCCGAAGGCAGATGCTTAACTGACTGAGCCACCCAGGAGCCCCTCTTTTTTTTTAAACAGGCTCCCCGCCCAATGTGGGGCTTGAGCTCACAACCCTGAGATTAAGAGTCGTATGCATGCTCTACCCACTGAGCCACCCCGTCACCCCGCGTTTATACTCTTAAAATTTATTGAATTTTTGTTTATGTGGTTCCTGTTAATTTACTATATTAGAAGTTAAAACTGAAGAATTTTGTAACACAAGAATACACAGGCACATATCCCATTAACAAGGATGTCGGAAAAATGATGTAATCACATGCCACATAGCCTCTGGAAAACTCCACTGTATACTTTTGAGATAATGAAAATAAAAAAGGCAAATACCATCTTAGTATTATTATGAAAATAGTTTTGATCCTGTGAACACTCCTGAAATGGTCTCAGGGACCTCCCAGGGGTCCCCAGACCTCACCTTGAAAACTCTCCCTGTGGACTATCGCCCCAGCCCTTCTTTATAACTCATACTTGTTGATTTTCCCCCTCATTTCTTAGGAAAGGATAAACATTTGTCTCCCCGGTGGGTCCGGTCCCCCACACTGGGAAAAACTAGGGAACTTCCTAGGCTCAGTACCCCTCTCCCGGCTCCCATTTCTGGGGCTCTCCTAACCACCTCCTCTTAGCCCCTTGCCCACCTCCTTCTTGACGCTCCCTGAAAGCTCTTCCACAGTTCCCACCCTGGGCCAGCCTGGTTCCCCTGTCCCAAGCCTGCTTCCCTCACCTGAGGACTTCCTCTTCTTGCGAGAGACTAAGTAGTTTTTCTCTGCCTTCTCCTTCCCTGCCTCCACCCCTCCCTCACCTCTGCCGCCTTCTCAGGGGGCTTAGGTCGGAAATCAAGCTTTCTGGGGAGACTCCTCTAGAGAACACACTTTCCCCATCTCCCCACACATCAACCAGCCTGGAATAGGCAAGAGCCTGGACCGACAAGTGCCCCTTTGGGTCCCCTAAGGGTCACCCCGGTCATCTTGCCACCCCGCCCATTAGGTGGGGGTGTGGATCAGGCCACGTCTCCCACCACAGATGCCCTTTGCCTGGGAACCCCCAACTGATCTCTTTACTCCAAATCCCCAGGTCCTCTCACTAGCTGCAGCCACAGGCCTCCACCACCATATCGGGCACATCTGTCTTGACCACATTGCCATCCCGGTCCAGGTAGAGGAGAGACAGAGGCCTTCGGGCCGTAGGGACACAGCAGGAAGTACCCAAGGGCCAAGGGTTGTTGGCCTTGAGGAGGCTGAATACAGCTGAATGGAAGGAGGCAGCAATGCCGGGGCTGCCAGCCAGGTGGGGGGGGCACTGTCCGCTGCAGTAATTTAGCTGGTACCCCTCGGGCTGCAGGATCCAGTCCCGCCATCCCAGTTCCTGAAAGTCCACATAATGGTCTCGCCGGCAACATAAGGGGGTCTCAGGCTCACAGGTGGGGGTCCTCCTCCTGGCCCGACTGGCTCCAGGCTCACTGGGCCGGATCTTAAGCTCCAGGAAGGGCCGCTGGTCTCCCGCTGTGTCCAGGAGCTGCCGAGGCTTTTGGGCAGAGGTGGTGTTGCCTTCTAGGAGTCTGCAGTTCAGCTGGAGTTTCAGGACAGGGGACTCCTCACCCCTCAAGCCACTAGAGGGCAGAGTGAGGGCGTGCCAGCCCGGGGCTGTTGTCTGGTGCTCTGCCAGGAGGGTGTGCGACCCTTGGTGCCCGCTACCTGGGCTCCATCGGAAGATCCTCAAGTAAAGAGTGCCAGGAAGGGTGGGGAACACGTGCAGCCAGAGGCGAGCGTGGTACAGGTGGTGGGACTGGGCTGTGGACAGGTGGAAGGTGAGCATGGAGCTGCAGGCTGAGGTGGAGGGACCTGCCAGAGAGATGGAGAAGGGATGGAGGAATGTGAGCAGGGATGGAGCTCCCCTCTGAGACCCCTGCAAGCCCCGCCCGCTGCTCTCCCTAGCCCCTTTAGAAGACGCGGGGACTGCCTTGTGTCCTCCGTCCTCCGCAACCCGTCCCTGCCTCTTCTGTCCTCCCTCCTCCCACACCCTGCTCCGTCTGCCTTTTCTGTCAGTGTCCCCTTCCGCCTCCCTCTCCGTCTGCTCTCTGCCTGCCTCTCTCTTACCCACCTGTGATGGTAGCAAAGCTGATGACCTCCTCCCCATTTGCTGGAGCCACACTTCCTGGCTGCAGTCTCCGGAGGGCTCTGGCCAGCGCCGCCTGGGGTGGAGGGTGAGTTATTCTGGGACGACTGGTCAGATGCAGCCCCTCCAAGATCTGCTGCTTGGCTAGCTCCAGGACCAGAGCTCGTTCTGCCTGGGGCGCCGGCGTGGGGCCTCCGCAGGATGTACACGCAGACCCTGCCCCCTGTGCCCACACCAGTGCCCACAGCAGCACCAGCTGGGGCTGGACATCAGGGAGCCCCATGCTCCTGGTGAATGGCCCTGGGTTGGGTCGGGAGCCTCAGATGGCAGTTGCTCCTTCTGTTGATCTGATTGCGTGGAAGCCAATGAGGGCACAGCAGCAGACCGCCGTGCCACACCTACCCTCGACCAAGGGTAGAGCCACCTGTCTTCTATTGCCCGGGACTCAGGAAGGCAGTATGCGGATGGTCCAATGGGTGGCTGTGTTTAGCGAAGTCTGCCAGTTTGACCCTCACAGCTCATGGCTGGTTACCGACTGGGGCCTCTTTAGAGCCGAAACCTGGGGCTCCCCCACTTAGTGGTCAGCCAGCAGACCTACCCTCTGAGCCCCGGGATTGGCCGGCTGTGCTGCCCATCAGGGCCCTGAGGGGGGTGGAGGTCCCCCCCCCCCTCCCCGGGAGCTCGGGTTTCACCATCTGGCCTGGTCACTGAGTTTGAGGTAGGTGTAAGGGGGTGGGGGGGGGGCAATGTGGACATGCATGATGCAAGAAAGAGAATGATTTCACATGCTCAGTCCCCAAGGTCTGGGGCTCAGGGGAGGGACTCATAGGCGCAAGGTGGGGAGGGCAGTTTCCTCCCATACCTCTAGTCCTTCCAGCTTACCCAGACACCTCTGCTGCAGCAGTTCTTATGAGGCAGCTGTTGAGTTCCACTGGTTATTTCTCCAGGGTCTCTGGGCAGGAAGGAGAACTCTGGTCTCTCTCTCCCTAGAAATAAGGCTGGGACGGGGAGGGGAGGTGGTGGCGCGGAGAGGAATGGCGTCCTCCTGCCCAGGCCAAGGTGGCAGTGCCATGGGGCACGGAAGTCACCTCCTGACCCTGCCTATGCTGGCTGCCCAGAGTCCAGTTGGACTGGAGCACAACGTGGAGGGGGCTGGAGCATGGTGGGGGTGGGAGGCATGTTACTGCGATGTCTGGGGAAACCCAGAGAGGTAGGGGTGGCGGTGATGCAATCTTACAGCAGGGCAGAGTCCATCAAGGCTGGCAGAAGGGCATGGGACTTGGGAGGGCCCATACCCAGCTGCTGGCTCTCTTTAAGGGGACTGTGAGAGTTACCTAAATTCGGGGCATCCTAGAAGTGGTGCGAGGCCTCTGTGAAAGGGGGCAGGAAATGGGAGGTCTAAGGACCTTGAAGAGCAAAGCAAGATGAGTGCAGTGACCTTGGTTCCCATCCCAGCCCTCCTTACCACACTTCCTTGCTGACTGAATGGGAGAGCCATGGCCCCTCCACCTCGAACTTATAAGGGTAGACTTCATGTTAGCCTTTCTCCTTATGCCCCAGTTGCTTCAAGAAGCTAGAAGGAAGTGAGTGTGATTTGGAAATGTGCCCCGGCTCTGTTTTATTAACCTCCCACCTATGTAGCCAGCGGGGACTGTCAAGAGGCTACTAGGTCTGGCACCAGGGGGAGAAAGTGGTGCTTTGGGGCTGGACCTCAGTACCCCCAGTGTCCACCATGTGGCAGTGTAGTGCCACTGGACGGCAGGGGGCTCAGGGCCGACCAGCTTCCCAGGGAATGGGCTGCTCTGAGGAGTGGGGAGAGGCAGAGCGCTTTCCAACCTCTCACTCTGGGGACCCCGCCTCTCCTACAGAAAACACAGAAGCCGGTCCCCGTGCTCTCCCCTCTCGCCACTACCAGAGAGCAGAAGCTGTCTTCAGGCCCCATATCCCTGCTACCTTTGGTTTTAGACTTTGTCGCATTGCCACGTGCCAATGGAGCCTGATGATGGGTGCCAGGCTCTTCCTAGAAACTCAGGGCACTGTGTGGCGGTGGGGGGGTGGGTAGAGAAGGGACAAGGAGACTTTTAGACCCTTCTGTCCTTCCTACGTTTCTCCCTGGGCGGAAACGTATTCAAGCCCCTCTGTCCAGTTCTCTTCCCCTACTCTGAGCAACCTCTCTCTCTGTTGGTTGAGGCTGGTGAGTGACAGCCCTCTACCCCTGGGGTCTGGAACATCGAACTGCAAAGAAGTTTCTGCCCATGGTGGTGTCTCAGAGGGTTTACCCGTCGGGGCCAGGAGACAGAGTCAAGAGAAGCAGCACCAAGCAGCTGCAGGAGTCGCTGACCCCTCTTCTCCCCTACCCTCTATCAGGTGTCCCCAATTTTCAGCTCTTCCTACCCTCTTGCTGCTGTGCCTGGCCTGGCCCTACCTCCTCACTGACACTTACGTCAGAACCCAGCTATAAATATGTTCTTAGCATCTTAGTCACTTTCCCCAAGAAGTGCTCCCAGGTTATAAATACCCCAGCCATCTGCCTCACAGGCCCGCCCTACCACCAACCTGGTTGGGTGCTGGGGGGAAGGGACAGGCTTGGGGGCGGGTAAGAAAGGAGAAGAAGCCCAAGTGATTATCTTGCCCGCATGAGAAAAGCCTGACACAGTCTAGAGTTAGGGGCCAAGAGGATCTGGAAGCAAAGGTTTGGAAGAAGACAGACCCTCTCTTTCCCCTTTTAACAAAAGCAGAGCCAAAAAGAAAGGGAGTTAATACCGAGTCTGTATTTATTTGAAAATTTGTTGTTTTGTTCATCATGGATTTTTTTTGCATTCATTTTGCTGTTTTAAAAACATTGCATTGGCTTCGCACTGACCAGCTTTCCAGGGAATGGGCTGCTTTATCAACTTCAATGGATGAATTTCTTGGCAACCCTTTACAATTCTGCCCCCAAAGTGACTGCCTTACTTCACCTCACCTTAGTCTTGGCCCTGGGGACTGAAGCTGGAGTTGGAGGGAGAGAGGTCAGATCTAGGGGAGGGTGGCTTATAGGGAGGGGAGACACTGTGGAAGGGGAAGGAAGGGGCACATAAGACTTCCTTAGATGTTCTCCTTAGATGAAGATCTCCTCAAGGCAAAAGTGGCATGACTTCTGTGGGTTGCTCAGGAAGCCCCACAGCTCAGATCTGCAGGTCTCCTAAGGAGATCCCTTTCAGACTTTCTCCTCTGGGGTTCCTCTTCCAGGGACCTCAGACCCTGGGAGGAGGGGGTTATACGTTGAGCAAACACAGACATCACGTTACCCAAAGGACACGTGAGTTTTGCGCAAACTCGGCCTTGGGCTGCAGACAATATCGACCCCACGGTTCAGGGCTGTCTAACCAAAGGGAGGGGATGATGGGAAAAGAAGGGCAAAGGTCTAGAGAGGACACAGTCTCAGAGAAAATGCCTCCCCTCCTCATTCCATTCCTTCTTTCCCTTCTCCCTGTCCCATGCAAGTGGCCCTTGGCCAGTTCCAGCTTCCAGGCAGGTCTCCTGGATGGAGCCCTGGGGGTCAGTGAGGGAAGGCCGCCAGCTCTGAGCCATGCCTCTGCTTCCCCCTACATGTGTGCTCCCAGGATGTCAGCCTACTTGCTGACTGAGCAATGATCTGTCTCATCTCTTGGAGTGAGTATGGAGGGAGGATAAGAACAGATAAAACCTAAGTCTTTATTAGCTCTGAGACCAGCAAAGATGGTTCTGGGGGGGGGGGGAGGAGGAGGCCTAAGAAAGAAGAGGAGGAAGCCTAGGAAAGGAAGAGGCACGAAGTATGGGATAGACACAGTAGCTCAGCCCCGAGGAGCCTGTGTGAGAGAGAGCAGAAGTGGGCCAGGCAGGTAGACTCTGTGTCATCCTCGGTGTCAGCCAGGGTCCTGGCAAGAGACAAAAGAACCATTCAGTTGTCTGTGTTTGCATCACCAAGAAGACTTAATGAAGACCTTATTTATGGAGGTGTAGGCAGGGTTAAGGGAACCAAGGAGGGATGTTGAGGTCCCCAGGGACTAGCAAGAGTGGAAAGCCCTCACAACCCCTAGTGCAGAAGCAGTGATGTCAGAACCTAGGAAGAACTGGGACCAGGGGGGAGCCAGATAGGAGCTGTAGGGACAGACCACAGTCACATAGACACATGGCACCTAGGCAGAGGGAACAGGAATAAGAAATACCCTGACCTCTGTCTCCTCCTATCCTTTGATCTCCTGCCTGTGTCAGCCCTTAGCCAAATTCAGCAGGAAGCCAGGGGCCAAAGGAGCTCAGGTGGGTCAGCCCTTAAGGGGGGAGAACAGGGCACAGAAGGACAAAGAATGGATGAGGGTGTGCCAAGAGAACCTTAGCCGTCCACCAGCACAAATAAGAAAGGGGCTCAACATACAGACGAGAGTAACTTTGGACAGCCGTGATCTAATCTCCAGTGAATCCAAGGAAGGGGCTCTCTGGTAATCCAGAAAATCAGAGGAAGGGGCTGGGTCAACTCAACCTAGAGGGACGGCCATCAAGTGGGAAGAGTGGGGAAGTACAGTGGGTTATGGGATGGATTAAGGGTGGGCTATGGGTGGCTTTGCCTGGGAACTAGATGGCACTGCTCATGGCTGCAGGTGGATCAGAGTCCCTGGGTGGCAGTTGAGCCTGTGAGGCTTGCTGGATAGACTATGCCCTAGGAGAGAGACTGGTGGTCGTGAAGATGGTACAGTGACTCTCCTTAGATGAAGATCTCCTCAAGCCACAGTTGGGATAATTTCCATAGGTTGCTCAGGAAGGAGCCCTCCTTCTGGACAGAGACAGTAATGGAGTCATTCCCTCCTTCTGGACAGAGGCAGTAATGGAGTCATTCCCTCCTCTCAAGGAAGGGTACCACTGTGAAGGCATGTTTGCCTACCCCGCGTTGGGCTGCCCATCCACACATGGACTAACTACACCCACAGGCCTCGACCACCATGTCAGGTATGTCAGTCTTGACAATGTTGCTGTCCCTGTCGTAGTAGAGCAGAGAGAGGGGGCGCCGGGCCGTGGGCACACAGCATGAGCCCCCTCCCGCAGTACCTGCAGCTGTGTTGGCCTTGAGAAGGTTGAGCACCGCAGTGTGGAAGGAGGCAGCAAGGCCAGGCATGCCTGCCACATGGATTGGGCACTGCCCTGTGCAGAAGTTCATTGCATAGCCCTCAGGCTGTATGATCCAGTCGTGCCAGCCAATCTCACGGAAGTCCACAAAGAACTCTTGTCGACAGCACATCCTGGACCCATCCTGGCAGTTGATGCCTCGCCGGTGAACCCGGTGCTTGCCCCCAACTTTCACCTTGGCTGCCACAAAAGGCCTATGGGCAGCCCCACCCAGTATGATCAAGTTCCGGGCTCCTTGGCCTTCAGGTACCAGTTCCAGGGTCAGGTGCCCTTGGCTGCAGGCAGCCTGAGCTTCCGGCCCCAGGAAGAGCTGGTGCCAGCCACTCTTGGCCACCTCCAGCAGGTGCTGAGTGGCCAAGGTGAGGTTGGTGTCATGTGAGCTTAGCACAAGGATCCTCAGCTTCAAAGTCCAGGTGGTATTGGGAGGGATCTGTACAAAGAACATGAGGCTGGCCTGCTGGATCTCCATGCCACTAGCAGTTCTATCAGAGGAGAAGTGGAAATCAAGACGAGTCTGGTTGATGTTGGAGAGGCCTGTGGACACAAGAAGCCCCAGTCACCATGGCCTTCTGAGTATGAATTCTACCAGCTACCTCGTTATTCTCGGCATACTTGAACTCTCGGCAGCACTCGGCACTGTTGGCCACCCGTTCTTTCTTGAAAATCTTTTCTTTCTTGGCTTCTATGACACAACTCTTATGATTCTTCCTTGATTTTCTTTGCTGGGTTTTCTTTCTCCCACCATCCATTCAATGCAAGAGTTCTCCAAAGTTTGTCTTTGACCTCCATTTCCTTTTATTCTACACTGAAAGGAGTTCTTACACACACTCATGGTCAGCCAACACAATTTTTATGGTGGTGATTCCCAAATCTGGAGGTCTAGTCCAGACCATTTTGCACCTCTGGACTGGATGTATAGATTTGGGAATCAACAAGGTTCAGGTTTAAATTTCTAACTGCTTAATTTTGTCACATGAATGTCCTGCTGGCACATTAAAATCAATTTTTTCCCAAGTGGAAATCATTCTTTTCCTTCCTATTTACCCCCTCTTTCTGTTCTTAAAATTGGGGGCACCACTACCCTCCTTATCACCTCTAGAAACCCTATGAGTATCCCTTCATTCCCCATATCCAGTCTCTCACCCCAATGGTTCTGTCTATGTATGTCTCCCTGTCACTATTACTCTTGTCCTATTTTCTCTCTTCATCTCTGCCCTGCCCCTACTGAAACACCTTAATTGGGTTTCTATTCCTTCCACTCCCCTACAACTGCTCTGGTCAGGATCCCCGACCCTTTCCATATTTCCCAATCCAATGGTTTCGTCTCTTTACATCATCTTACTTGACCCTTAAGCAGTGTTTAACACACTTAATCACTCCCTCCTTCTTGAAATACTTCTTTCTCTTGGCTTTGGTGACTCTGGCCACTTTATCTTGGTCTCTTGCTGACAGCTCCTCTTCCTCTGTCTGACCTCTTTATGTTGAAGGTCCTGAGCTCCCTTCTTTTCTCTCTATATATTCTTTTCCAGAAGGATCTCACCAATTCCCATGGCTTTCTATTCCATCTGTATGCTGATGACTCCCAAATACATATCCCTGGCCCTGACCTCTCCCTGATCCTCAGGCTTGTATTTCCAGCTGCTGATCTGATAATCTATTTGGATATCTAGTGATATCTCAAACTTTTCAGGTTCAAAGATAACTTCTAGATTTATCCCCCACAACCCAAACCTATTCCTTCTCCAACCTAATTCCCTATAAATGCATTGCTTAAGCCAAAACCTTGATTACCCCCACCCTCTACTTTAAAATTATCTGCAAGATTTGGGGCGCCTGGGTGGCTCAGTTGGTTAAGCATCTGACTTTTGATTTCAGCTCAGGTTATGACCTCAGGGTCGTGAGATGGAGCCCTACATTGGGCTCCGTGCTCAGCATGGAGTCTGCTTGAGATTCCTCCTCTCCCTCTGCCTCTGCCCCTCCCCTCCACTTGTGTACACTTTCTCAAAATAAATAAATAAAATCTTAAAAAAATAAGAAAATAAAATTATCTGCAAGATCTGCCAACCCTACCTCCAATTCATAAAATAATTTCACTTATCCCCATCTCCTCTACTATATATTCGTTCAACCCACAGTCATCTTTTTCTCGAATTATAGCAATAGCTTCTCAAGTGGTCCACTCCTGTCCCCCAAGCCATTCTCTATATATCAGCCAGAGTGCATTTTATTACATAAATCTGATCAGCTTAATCACTTCAACTTAAGATCCTTCAGAGGCTTCCCATTGCTATTTGAATAAAATCTAAACCCTTTAACATAGAAAACTTGTATGATTAGGTATTCTGCCACTTAATGACTATATTTTACGTATACTGGCTCTTTTCTGTTCCTTGAACTCACTAAACGTGGACTCACCTCATGGCCTTTGCACTTGTACTTCCCCCTCTCTGAAATGTCTTTCCAAGATCTTTGATTGACTGGCTTCTTTTTGGCATTCATCTCAAACATCTCCTTCTTGTAGAGGTTTCTCTGACTAACCTATCTAAAGCAGCCTTCAAGTCTACCTCCATCTAATACCTCGTCCTGCTTAACTGTCTTTATAGCTACTATCACTCTCCGTAGTCATCTTGTTTTTTCATTCATTTGTTTACTATGTACTTCTCCTCCCCTCCTCTCCTCTCCCCTGCCCCTCCATCTAGAATGTAAACTCCATGAATGTAGATTATGCCTGTATAGTCTACCACTCTCTCTAGTACCTAGTACATAATAAGCTCAATAAACAATTGTTGAATGAACATAAAGTTCAACTAGGCTTCATGTGAATTGGAAAGTCAGGAATAAGGCTGCTCTTGACAGCTCTCAAAGTCAACATGACGTCTCTCATTTTTGGTCTCTCTAAGTAAGTCTATTCCATTCTTCTTTCTGTGGATCTACTTCTTCCGCTTCTTTGTCAGTTTCCTTAGGTCCTAAAATGGTGGCCCCAGCTCCTGATTCTACAGAATCTTTTATCGGCTCCTCCAAACTAAAGTGATACGATCTTCCAGTGTTCCAATTCCCAAATCTTAGATGAAAAGCCTGATTGGCACAACTAATCTTGCTATGTCACTAAGCACCCCACCATTAGAATCTCTCTCTCTCTTAAAGATTTACTTATTTATTTTAGAGAGAGAGAGAGAGAGAGAGAGAGAGAGAGAGAAGGAGAGAGACAGGGTACAAGCAGGAGGGGCAGAGGGAGAGGGAGAGAAACTCCCAAGCAGACTCCATGCTGAGCATGGAACCAGATGCAGGGCTTGATCTCATGACCTTGAGATTACAACCTTAGCCAAAACCAAGAGTCAGACGCTTAACCAACTGTGCCACCCTGGCGCCCCTAACACTAGAACCTCTTAAGTTACCTTAGTTATGGCAGACAGACACATAACCAGCAGGGGCTGTGGTATACTATTACATTGTTGGCCCCCAGTGAACAACACCTCCCAATATTCATGGTTCTGTGCAGTCACTTTCCATATTGTCCAGGCATGGCTGTGTGGCTTGACTTGGCCAATGAGACACAGGCATGCAGAGTGCAAGCAGAAACTTGTTAAGTACTTACACAATGATGCTTTGCCCTTTTGGAAGATAGCCAGCATGCTTTATTTTAAAGAAACTTGGGCTGGGCGCCTGGGTGGCTCAGATGGTTGAGCGTCTGCCTTCGGCTCAGGTCATGGTCCCGGAGTCCTGGGATCGAGTCCCGCATCGGGCTCCCTGCTCCTTGGGAGCCTGCTTCTCCCTCTGCCTCTCTCTCGCTCTCTCTCTCTCTGTGTCTCTCATGAATAAATGAATAAAATCTTTAAAAAAAAATAAAGAAACTTGGGCTAGGCTATTGAATGATGAGACGCCATGTGGAGAGCTCAGACTTTGAGGATCAGAGACCATCTTGGATGGTCCAGCCCCTAAGCTCCTGACTGAATGCAGTTGCCTCCGTGCCCTCAGCTACTCCTCAGATGGAGATAAAGAACTGTCCAGGTAAGTCTAGTCAAAGCACAAAAATCACCAATTTTCTTGTTTTAAGCCTCTATGTTTGTGCTGATTAGTTATATTAATAGGTAACTGAAACAGAAATTAGTAACAGAGGTAAGGTGCTCTGTAACAAAGACCTAAAACATGTATCCTTGGCCTTGGGACTGGGTGGCAGGCAGAGGTTGGAAGAATGGTGAGGCGACTGTTAGTGAAGGTATGAAGAGCAGTGAGGAAATTGCTCTCGGAAGCTGGAGAAAGGGGAACCTGTGTTATGTATTGGCTATCATCTGTGGTAACTTGGAAGCTAGAAATGGTATCTAACAAAGTTGTGAATTTAGCTAAAGATATTTCCAGGCAGAATGCTGAAAGTGCCAGTTGGCTTATTTTAGCTGCCTATGATAAGGCATTTCAGGAGTGAGATGAACTAAAAAAGGAACTGTTCAATTTTCAAGCAGAATTTAGAGAAAATAGGGATGCCTGGGTGGCTCAGTCAGTTAAGTGTCTGCCTTTGGCTCGGGTCGTGATCCCAGGGTCCTGGGATCAAGTCCCACCTTGGGCTCCCTGCTCTGCGGGAGGCCTGCTTCCCCCATGCTTCTCTCGCTCTCTCTGTTCCTCATGAATAAAATAAAAATAAAATCTTAAAAAAAAGAATTTAGAGAAAATATTTCCAACAGGACCTGCTAGATTGAACGATAAAATATTTTTTCATTCCTCACCTTTGTCTGGCAAAAGATTCTTTTTTTTTTTTAAGATTTTATTTATTTATTCGAGAGAGAGAGAATGAGAGATAGAGAACACGAGAGGGAAGAGGGTCAGAGGGAGAAGCAGACCCCCTGCTGAGCAGGGAGCCCGATGTGGGACTCGATCCCGGGACTCCAGGATCATGACCTGAGCCGAAGGCAGTTGCTTAACCAACTGAGCCACCCAGGCGCCCCTGGCAAAAGATTCTTAAAGTAAGAAATGGTCTTGGGGCAAAAATCAAATCCAGGGGATTGCCAGTAAAATAGGCCTCAGAGTTAAGACCAAAACATTTAATAAAGGGTCAACTGTAAGACCCTCTGTTAAGATCTAACACCTTTGTTAAAATCTAAAAAAATTAAAAAAAAAATCTAAAAAAATTTAAGATGATGTTCTATAGATCCTCTCAACGAGACAAAAGGGCTTCTAAGAGTCTTAGGAATATTGACCCATAACACCCTGACTTGCAACCTAGAGATGGGTCTGTCTTGATAAAGTTGAGTGCCTTTTTGTCTAATTGAATAGACTGTGATTTGTTATTTAGATGGCCCACAGGGTTTTACAGAGAATTTTAGTTGTGAAAGCAGCACCAGTTTGGACTAAAAGGGACAGAGATGATTCAAAATGAAAAGAAGTCTCTGGGCCCCCAACTTCTTTGGGCAGGAAGAAGGCTGAGAAAACTGCTCAGCCACAGACACAGGTCATTTCCTATTTAAAAGGAAAGACATCTCAGAGGGTGGAGCCAAGGGCTGAGACAGTAGATCTAGAAGGCAAGGAGAGCACTGGTGGGCTCTCCTTAAGAGGTGAGAAAAATCCTGCCAGGGAGCAGAACTAAGCCCTAACCAAGGGAATTCTGGATTTGGGGTAGACTGAGATATGTGCCTGGCTGGATATCAGAACTTTCATGGATCAGTGACTGTTCTGTGTCCAACACTCCCCTGTCTCCCATGTTGAACAGGTGTATCTATTATGGTGATCCTGTCCCTGTGTCAGCATTGTTATGTGCGGTGTGTGGGAGGCAGATAACTTGTAGTTTTAGGTCACAGGCAGTGGTGTGCTGGTAAATGTTTAACAACTGGATTCCAGAGGGAAATAAATCCCAATTTGTAGTGTTTGCCAATTTCTGTGGTATAAATTCTCCCACCACGGCCAATTTCAAACTATTAATGTGACATCACTGGATGCGGAGTTGGGAGATGTTCATAATTTGTTCTCAAGAGCCAGTAGGAGCCAGTTCCAGGACATCACTGAACACCCCCACCTCAGTTTCCCCAGAGTCCCAAGCTCTCTCTTCCTACCTCCAGCAAGAACCAGACTCAGGTCTTGCTTTCACTATTGTGTGGATGGATGATAGCTTAAATTGGAATAAAAACTTCAAGCTAACATGTTAAATGCAAAAGGTAGAATCCAGGTATCAGTCATTCTCACTTCTAAATGTCACCTCAGATCAGGCCCCCTCCAGCTGAATATTGTACTCATTCACTGATGAGCAAATATGTGGAAAGCGTATAGACTTTGAAGTCAGAGAGAACGGTGTTTGAATTCTGCCCCCTGCAAGCTGTATGACCTTGGCCACGTAAATGATCTTCTTTGAGTGTCAGTTTCTGCTTTCATACCATGGGAATAATAAACTCTACTTTATGGGGTGGTTGTGAAGATCAAATGAGATGAGGCAGGCATACTAAATGCGGGTGGCCATCATGATTGCCACAATGTTGCCACGAACTGGTGTCAGGGATACAAAAGTGAAAAAACAAAAACAAAAACGAAACAAAAACCCAGAATCTTGGTTTTCAAAGGAGTCATGGTTCATGGTCATCTGTCTACCTTGTGCTCATCCACTCCAAGCTGCTTTTCAACTCCAAATGCAGTTTACTCCTTCAGACTTTTATTCACATTTTTCCCTCCGTTTAGAATGTTGTTTACCATTCTCTACCCCTTGAAGCCAAACTTATTCTACAACGCCAGTCCATTTGCAGTCTTCTGAAAGACTTCCCTGTCTCACTAGGACCCAAAGAATAACCCCTGGCCTAGCAAGCTCTGTGCCCTCCTCTCGCATTATTTCATTCTGCCTTACCTTCTAATTAATGTATTTCCAGAAGCGGCAACTACATCCCTCATGGGTAGGAACTGAGTCTTTGATTTCTTGCTCTTTCCTACCTTAACCTTCTAAGAACATTACCTGTATTTGTTCATTTAATTCTCTCAACTATCCTCTCATTATCCCCACTTTACAAATGAGAAAACCATTAACAACCCAGGTCACACAGTAATAAACAGCAGAGCAAGGATTTGAACCCAGGCTTCTCTGGCTGCAGTTTGTGTTCTTAATCATAGGCAGGGGTGCCTGGATGGCTCAGTTGGTTAAGCGTCTGCCTTCAGCTTAGGTCATGATCCCAGGGTCCTGGGTTAGAGCCCCGCTTTGGGCTCCCTGCTCCGCGGGAAGCCTGCTTCTCTCTCTCTCACTCCCCCTGCCGGTGTTCCCTCTCTTGCTTTGTCTCTCTCTGTCAAATAAATAAATAAAATCTTAAAAAAAAAAAAAAGAAAGAAAGAAAGAAAAAGAGTTTCATGTTCTACCGACTGAGGCAGCCAGGTGCCCCAATAAACCTCTTTGTGCCTCAGTTTCAGTATCTTTTTTTTTTTAAGATTTATTTATTTATTTTGAGAGAGAGTGTGCACCTGAGGGTGGGGAGGCAGAGGGAGAGAATCCCCAAGCAGACTCCCCACCGAGCTCGAACCTCTGGGTTTAATCTCATGACCCTGAAATCATGACCTGAGCCAAAATCAAGAGTTGGATGCTTAACTGACTGAGCTACCCAGGCACCCCACAGTTTCAGTTTCTTTAAAATGAGATAACAATAGTATTTGCCTCACTGGATTGTTGCGAGGATCTTAAGGAGTTATTGTATGTAAAAAACTTAGAATAATGTAAATATGATTAAGTGTTAGTTATTTCTACTATACACTAGTTTCTGGTGATAACATGAGGACTAAATGACAGTTCCTGACCTCAAGGGGTCGACATTTATGGGAAGACAGACTTCACAGAAAACTTGGAAATAGGCAATTCCACACAGAGTTCAGGTTCAGGGTAGGGGTAGGGGAGCCACCAGAGAGGGAGCCCCTCACCCTCAGGTCAGGGTGGGTTTTTTGAGGATGGAAGTCCTGGGTCTTGAAGGGGGAGGGGAGTAGGTGCTGACCAGGGGAAAGGGGCCAGGAATGGGAAGGACCTTCCAGACCCAAGGAAGAGCTTGCAAGAAGCTCAGAGGCCAAAGAGATCACTTTATGTTCTGTTTCTAGGGTCCTGTCTCCAAATTCTTGACTGTTTCTCCAGCTATTCACTAAATTCTCCAACTCCTTTTTCCTCTCTGGAAGTAACTCTTCCTTCTCCTCCATCTTCTATCCTTTGTCTACTTTTCTGAGTCCCATTTTGACCCTGTTCTGATGTGAGGACCCAAGGTATTAAGATGAGGGAGCAAGGGTAGGCTGGAGGAGTATTGTAGTCCTGGTGTTTTACTTTTTCCCTTTTTACTCAGATGAGGCATCTGGCTGTTGGGGGAGACAGGGGCCAGAGAACGGACAGACACCCTAGCTCCCAGCCTCAGGGTCCAGGCCCAGGAAGTGGATGAGCTCACGCCACAGCCTGTGGAAGTTTGTGGGAGCCAGAGGACATGCAGGCAGGCAGTCTCAAAAGAAGTGAAATCTACCCGCTTCCCAGCTGCCCACTGGTCAAGTTTAAATAAGAGGGAGCAGGGGGTGGGGTGAGGTGTGGGAGCCTGGCATTAGGAGATTACAGGCCATGGCAAGCAAGAGTTGGGAGGGTTTGGGGGAGGGAGTCAGGGCTTAGGCTGGGGAGGAGACTTTTCCATCCTTGGGGGAAGATCTATAGGACAGGACCCCACCTGTGTCAGCAAAGCTGATGATCTCATATTCCTGTTCCCCGTCAGCCTCCGGAAGCGTCCCCTGCGGGGGCCCACGGAAGCGCTGCATCGCAGTCCTCAGAGCAGCCCTGGACACAGGCCGGTTCAGTGTTGGGCGCTGGCTGAGGCGCAGTTTGTCCAAGATGCTTCTCTTGGCCAGGTCAAGAAGCAGCTCCCGCTGACGATCCAGGTCCATGGCGGGTCCTCCACATGCCAGACACTGGCTGTCAGCTCTGGGAATGGCCACCGGGGCTGGAGCCAGGAATAGGAAGGCCAGCAGTAATGAGGAGATCATTGCTGGGGGAGGCCCTCTTTCAGTGATACGGTTGAGACAGAGCTGTAAAACTGGGGCTCAGGATCTCAGCAGCTGCGGCCTCACCTCCAACCTGGCCGCCAGGGGCCCTGGAAGGGGAGTGTGTCCAGCTGGCATGGCTCCTTGTTGCAGGGGATAGAGTCGCCAAACATCTGACTTGAGAGATGAAGCCAGTTACAGGTAGAACTTGGCAGAAGCCTCCAACACATAGTCAGTTAAAGTACAGAGTGGGGGATGTGAGAGGAGGTTGTTTAGTTTGGGGAAAGATATGTCCCTGGGCCAGTGCTGGGAGACAGTGGGTTACCCGTGGAAGCTGCCAGACCTGGGGACAAAGGTTAGAGATGAAATTCCTCTTCAGATCAAAGGCCTTGCTGGGAAGCCTGGAGGAAAAGGGAGAGATGAGAGGTTTTAAGACAGAGCATTAAAGAGTGACTCTCAAACAAGAGGGGTCCTTGGCAGGACACTTTGTGTCATTGTCATGCAGATAACAAGAGTTTCATTTTCCTTTGCCAGGTACTTCTCAAAGCCCCACTGCCCCCTTTCTCCCTTCCTGAGGCTCATAATGCAGACTCCTTTGTTAGCCACCGCTCCCCCCTCCATCCCCACCCTACTGGGCTCAAAACTAGCCAGTATGAAGGCTAAGGAAAAGGAGGGGAAGTGTTCTAGCCAGGTCTTCTGTATCCTCAGGGGAAAGTCTGAAGGTGGGAAAGGGGCTTGAGAGCTAGCTTTGCTCACCCTTTGGGGACTCTTCTATTTAGGAAAGGGGATTTTGAGATTTCTCAGAATCCCTGGTTCTCCAAAGGTCCTCACCAGTGGCTCTTCAGGGAAGGGCCTGTGCTCCCACAGTAGGGATTTACCTGGCAGGAATGGTGGGTGGAGTTAGGAGGATGGGTTTTTATTTTATTTATTTATTTATTTATTTATTTTTAAGATTTTATTTATTTGTGTGTGTGGGGGAAGAGAACACAAGCAGGGGGGAGAGGCAGGCAGAGGGAGAAGCAGGCTCCCCGCTGAGCAAGGAGCCTGATGTGGGACTCCATCCCAGGACCCTGGGATCATGACCTGAGCCAAAGGTGGGCGCTTAACCAATTGAGCCACCCAGGCGTCCCAGGAGGATAGGTTTTTTAAACCAGACGACCTTGGTCAAAATTCTCTCTCTTCCTTTTATTAGCTGTGTGACTCTAGGCAAGTTACTTGAACTTTCTTGCTTTCATTTCTTCATTGGAGAAATGGGAAACATGATTACCCATGATTCCAAAATCCAAAAGACCCCCATAATACACTTTTCATATGGTGAACTGAAGAGAGGGGAGGTTATCTATGATCTTTTAAAAAAATGTACTGAGACTATTTATACATTTTTACTCCAGAAATATCAATTATTTGATTATGGGATACCCCTGGGGGTATTATATAATATACAGTATGTGTATCATTTTACCTTTCTAAAACTTGAAATTTTCTGAATTCTGAAACATGTCTGGCCCTATGGACTTTGAATATGGGATTATAGATCTGTAATGATTATTTCAGAGTTTTGAGATTTAAATAATTTTGTAAAGCACTTACAGTGGCTGGCACATAGCAAGTTCTTAACAAAAATTTATTATTTCTGCTATGCAGGTTTGTCTGTGGGCCAAATATTTCCACCAATATTTGCCCTTCTGGGCTCTTCTTTCCTAGATGCCATGCCCCTAATCTCTGTCTGCAGTACAGTCACTTAGCCAGTCATCTTTGTTGCTTACCTTATATTCCTAGCATTGCACACAGTGCCTGATCTATTATATGTGTTTAAAGGTGTGGGAATTTTGCCCCTGTTCTACTGAAAATTAACCAAACATCCACCGTACATGTTTAAGGCACACAGCACATAACTTCTCTGTAGCTTACTCAATCTCCCTTACCTCTAACAACCAATTGCTCCTTGTTTCCACAGCACACTGAACATATCTCTATTTATAGCACTTACATTGTACTGTAATTATTTTTTTGCCTACTGCAGTTCTTGCGGCATAATAAATATTTAATAGCCAAATTCTATCACTGTAAGACTACAGTTCTTTGAGGGAGTTGGTCAGTAAATGATCCAAGTCCATCTGACCAATAACTTAAATTGATTCTGCCTAGAACGGACAGAATGGGGGAGGTTGCAAACTCAAATGACTCTTAAGGAAAAGAACTGTATCTTGGAAGGGGGTGGTAATAATGATTTTAATAAGATGGACTTAAAACTTTTTATAGAATTAAATTTTTACATCTGGAAAAAATGGACATCCACCTACTACGTGATCTTTGTCCATTTATACTACAAATATTTATTGCAGGAGTTACTGTCCTAAGTGAAAGGCTATTTTGAAAGTGCTCTGTAGACTCAAATTACTTTAGAGTAATTAGTATTATGTTTAAATCCTGGGTGAATCTGACAGGCTTCATGGACTTGAGGACTGAGGATCGCAGTGGATCTGGATTGCTGACTCGAGACACAGGTAACGCGGAGGGAGCGAACGAACGAGCGCGCTGGCGTGTGCGTGTGTGCCGGGGAGGACAGCGTGTGGGTAGTCGGGGCGAGTGGGTGATTAGGGGCGTCTGCAGCAGTGGAGAGAGGCACAGAGGAAGCAGGGACGCGCGGGGCGCAGGACGCGCTGACGATTACGCCTGACGTGGTGACGTAGCGCGCAGGCCGCAGCGGGGGGCGGACTCTGGGCCTTTCTTCCCTTCTGATTCTCCCCCTCCCCCCTTTTCTCCCTTTCCGGGTTTGGTTCCCCCCTTTTCTCCCCCTCTCCCCCTTCCTTCCCAAGCCCCTTTCCCCTCCCCCGCCCCAATCCCCCCTGCTCCCCCGCCCTGGGCCCTAGGGAAACCCCCGCCGAGAAGAGCCCGCCCCCAGAAGCGCGCCGCCGCCGGCCGTCGGGGCCGAGCCGCAGCCGAGCGGCCGTGGGCCGGGGCGGCGGGCGGAGACGCTGGCGCCCTCCCCGCTACGGCCCGTGTGAGGTGAGGCCACCTCCCGGCCGAGGGGGCAAGCGGCGTGGGCAGCCCGTGGGGAGGGGGCGTGGCGGCCGCGCGGGCTGGCGGGCGGAGGACCCCCCGGCCTGTGTTCCCCGCGCTGGAGCTACCCGGGCCTGGGGGCGGTGGGGCAGGGCCGGAACCCACAGTGAAGGACGGCCCCGAGGCCCGAGACGCCCCGAGTGTGCGCGGGGAGCGCAGGCGAGAAGCGGGGGAATGGGGGGCGCGGGGCAGAGGGCGGGGGGCTGGCGCCACCTGTGGCCTGTGCGGTGGGACCTAAAAACTGTTGCGCCCTTGTAGTGCTTGGGGGTGACTAGCTCCATGTGTTTCTTGGGTTTCCGTTTTCCTGCGAGCATTGGAAAAATGGGAGGGAAAGGTGTTGAAGCGTTTCAAATCATGCCGGTATCCGAGTTATTAGAGGACAGGGATCCGAGTTGGAATGTACAGGGAGATGTTTCTGGAGCTTAAAAGTTGGGCCTACTTTAGGCTCATAACTCACTCGTGAGCCTCTTAAAACTCTTACTGATTTTGGTGACTCCACAGAATAATTATTCACTCAGTAAATTGTTCTTGGATAATGATGAGACATGTTTTCCAGGTTTATTGAGAAATAATTGACGTATATTACTGTTTATGTTTAAGGCACACAGCATGATGGTTTGATTTACGTATATTGTAAAATGATTGTTGAAATAGAGGTTCAGCTAACATCCATCATTCTTGTATAGATACCATAAAAAAAAAAGGAAAGAGAATAAAATTTTTTTTTCCTGGTGACGAGAATTCTTAGGATTTACTCTATTAAGGACTTTCCTATAAATCTCATAGCAGGGGCAACCATAGTCATCATGTGGTACCTTACATCCCTACTACTTATAACAAAATTGTTCCTTTTGACCGCCTTCCTCCAATTCCCCCTCACCTTACCCTCTGCCTCTGGTAGCCACAAGTCTGATCTCTTTTTCTATGAGCTTGGTGTTTTGTTTTTTTCGTTTGTCTTTTTAGATTCCACATCTAAGTGAGATCGTACACTGTTTCTTTCTTTGACTTACATGCCTTCGAGGCCTATCCATGTTTGTCACAAATGGTAGAATTTCCTCATTTTTTATGGCTAATATTCAATTATACACCCCCCCAACTTTATCCATTCATTCATCCATGGACATTAAGGTTTTCCTGTCTTTGCCAATGTCAGTAATTCTGCTATGAACATGGGGATTCAGATGGCTCTCCGAGTCAGTGTTTCTGTTGGTGTGGGAAAATTTAAATTCAGATCCCAGTTGGATGAATGTTCTTGTATAAATTTTTTTTCAAATAGACTTAACTGAAATAGAGAAGCCTGAGTTCTGTCTGATGTTGGTGGGCACATGGAGACTGGGGAAGAAGGAGGTGACAGGTTCTACTTCCCGAATATCACACATTCCTAGCATTTTAATTGTATTTTTGAATAGTTAGATTGGCACTTGAATTAGTTGTTAGTGGCTCCTCTTAATTTCTCATGCATTTTTTTTTCTTCCTTTTCTCCTTTCTCCAGTATTTCCTTTTTTTCCTCTTTCTGGAGACTTCAAAACAAAAATGACTTAAATAGGGTGCCTGGGTGGCTCAGTTGGTTGGGCGACTGCCTTTGGCTCAGGTCATGATCCTGGAGTCCTGGGATCGAGTCCCACATCCGGCTCCAGGCTCTGTGGGGAGCCTGCTTCTCCCTTTGACCCTCTCCCCTCTCATGCTGTTTTTTAATCTCTCTCTCAAATAAATACATAAAATCTTTTAAAAAAATGACTTAAGTAGGGGTGCCAAGTGGTAGGTTAGGTTAATTCAGTTCACTTTTTAGTTGTATTTTTCTTCCCCCATTGCTGTTCTCCATAGGGTTGAGAGGACAGAGAATCTTTCTGGAATGTCTGATGAACTGTCAGCAAAAGTTAAATTTCACAGTTACTGTTCCAGCTGTCTTTGTGTCCACTGTAAGATCTATATTGTAGATCTCCACTATTTATTTATTTATTTATTTTAAAGATTTTATTTATTTGAGAGAGAGAGAGCACAAGCCAGGGGGAGGAGCAGAGAGAGAGAGAGAAGACTCTCCGCTGAGCAGGGAGCCCAATGCAATGCGGGGCTCATGCAATGTGGGGCTCCATCCCAGGACCCTGAGATCATGACCTGAGCCTAAGGCAGATACTTAACCGACTGAGCCACTCAGGTGCCCCAATCCCCACAATTTAAAACAAAAATTAAAAAATTCGGGTATGTAAAAATAGGGTGCCAGGTATTTTTTAATGGAAAAGAGGAGTCTGAAGGGGAAATAGCTTCCTTGCTTTTTCAGAATAAAAACCAAAGACTTTACAATTGCCTTTAAAGCCCTAGATCTGTAACACCCTTTCCTCCCCAGCATACTCCTTTGATCAGGCCCTTCCTTGAGCAGCCAGGCTCACTTTTGCTTGCCTCAGGGGCTATGCATTTACTCCCAAGATCTTCCTGGATCATTTTTTCATTATAAAGCCGCATAACTTTGTCCCCTCACCTCCTTCAGTTCTTTATTCAAATGTCACTTGAACAGTGACATTTCCTTGGTTATTTAAATTGCAACCCCCCTACCCTTTACATAATTCTCTATCCTACTTTTCTGCTTTATTTTTCTCCTTACTCTTAGCAACCTATAATGTACTTATGTTTGGTGTCCCCCACTAGAAAGTAAGCTTAATGAGAGTAAATAGTCTTGTTTTGTTAATTGCTGTGTCCTCAGCACTTAGCATAGAACTTACCATGCATTGGGTGCTCAACAGTTTTCTCCTTGTCATGAATTTTTGATCATGATTGGTTGTCCTTGGAAGTGTGGAATGAATTTTCACTAGGATTTTGTGAGGTACTCATTGGAAGAATTTGAGATTCTTTTTCTGTCATTTCTTGCCACATTTCTCTTTTTGACAGAAGTCTTGTGCTTTCAGCTCATTGAATGAAAGCACTTTGAAGGCAGAGAGGATGAAGCATAGGGGATCTTTGGTGTTGGTGGCCCTAGAGGAAGATTATAGTAAGATCTCATGTGACTAGAATTTTTACCTCCCGCTTCAGGCTCCTCCATTGATGTGTGTTCACTTCCCTGATGAGACAGTTACCATCCTTACCTCTTTGGCCCCAAGGCACTGAACAGGCTGGTTCCCCTTTGAATTTTTCAGTAGACTGAAGATGTTAATATTTACAGTGTGGGCTCTATGGGTTATATTTTTTCCCCCCATTCATGTGGAGCTGGTTGAGCTAAAAAACTATGAGAATAGCTTTCTCTAACGATGATGGAGTGGTTCATTCTAGGGAACATCTGATCCTTTTATTCATAAATCCATTTTGGGGGGGCATTTTTAGCAACTAAATTCTATATTAAGTCTGAGGAGAAAAGGGGCAGGCCTCCTGAATTCTGTGGATTATCCCTCATTTTTTCCTTTCTCATTTCTTGGTTGGTGCATTTGTTACCTTTGTTGACCTTCTGGCTAGAGTGGCCTAGATGAGGTTTCTCTTTGTGGCAGTCCCGGCCACTCTTCTCCAGCTTAGGAAGGCAAAGGGGGTTGAGATAGGGGTTTTAACACTTTGTGGGAATGCTGGTGGCAAAGCTTAAAGTTTTTGCTTACACCTTTGCCAGGACATTGAAAGCTGCCAGGCCTATGAGAGAACAGTTTGTGGGAGGGTGGAAAAATTGGGGATCTTTTTTTTTTTTTAAGATTTTATTTATTCATTTGAGACACAGAGATACAGACAGAGAAAGCATGAGTAGGGAGAGAGGCAGAGGGAGAAGCAGGCCCCTCGCTGAGCCAGGAGCCCAATGTGGGGCTTGATCCCATGACCCTGGGATCATGACCTGAGCCAAAGGCAGATGCTTAACCATCTGAGCCACCCCAGAATTGGGGATCTTGTATCTATTTGGACTGGATGTGGTTCTGGTATTAGAGTAAAGAAGTAACAGCGTCAGAAATAGATTAGTAGTTCTTATTTTGTGAATAATTTGACATAGGTAGTTTGATAAATATTTCTATTAAACTTCTATTGCCCTCTTTTAAATCCTTTCACAAAGTTTCTAGGAAGTCTTTCTCATGCTCTAGAGATACTTAACCATTTCTATACCATGTTCTCAGCTCTGATAGATAATACTGAGTACTGACAATGTTTCAGTGTAGGTAATGATTTCTGAATGATGCAGTGCTTATTCCTGTGCCAGATCTCTTCATAAACTCAAGGAAAGTTTTCAGGAAAAAGCATATTTTGAGGAAGGGATAAAAAGTGTTGCATTTTGGTTGCATGATCCCAGGAAGTGCAGAGGAGAGAATTTTGTGAAACAGTGTATGCTGTTTTTTGTTTTGTTTTGTTTTTTTAAGGTTTTTCTATGCCTCCTTGTAAGATTGGATAAGGGACTCTGAGTGTCCTTGTGTGGAATGTGCTGCCAGTTTACAAGTAGGAAAAATAACTGAATGTGTATGCATGAATACAGTTGGTGGGTCTAATTTTAGAGACCTTCTTCACACACAGTGGTCTCAGTATTTTCCTCCAGCTGTATCCTTATTCTCTGTGTAGAAAACATTTGACTTAATAGTCTTTTAGCGGTTGATTAACTTTTGTTCTTACCATGGTTGCTAGTTTATTTATTTATTTATTTTTGTTTTAAAATTTTTATTTATTTGAGTGAGAGAGTGAGAGCAAAGCAAGAAAGACAGAGAGCATGAGTGGGGTGAGGGACAGAGGGAGAAGCAGAGTCCCCCCTGAGCAGGGACCCTGGTGTGGGGCTCGATCCCAAGACTCCAGGATCATGACCTGAGCTGAAGGCAGATACTTAACCAACTGAGCCACCCAGGTGCCCCCATGGTTGCTAGGTTGGCAGTGTAGCACGTGTCCCATCTTTCCAATGAAGTTACTCTGTCATTCCTTCCTAACTTTGAGTTTATTTCTGAAAACAGAGATAGGAAAGATTTCTTAACCTTGATCTGTTTTAACTCCTTTTTGAGTTCCCT